CTAAATCAAAGGTGTCTACAAATTTTCCTGCCAGTCTGTGAATCATTGCTTATAACTAGTTAATACAGCTCTAGCTTCTAAATAACTGTCCGCACATAGATCTATTTGCCTAAAGAATTCTACTAACTTTAGGTATGCAGATGCTTTTAATTGCGACAATAGTCAACCAGAGCGATTTGGTTTACTGTTAAGAATATTTATTCCAAGGCAATTCAAACAAATAATGAGCTTAACTTACGCCTGGTTGGCCGGCGTTACCCTCCGGACCCGATGAGCCATCTTCCCCTGGTTGACCAGTAAGTCCTTTAGGCCCAAGAGGACCAGGTTGGCCAATTAAACCATCCAGTCCTCGATCACCCTGATATGGTTCACAAGAGTTAGCAGGTTAAGGAAAGGTAACACGGTAAAAATAAGCAGTATACCAAAGTATAAGTTAATTAATAATATTGCTGAATCCTGATTACTATTGTGAAAATGGGGTTGAAAATAACGAGACTAGACAGTGAGCTCAGTGTACTTTACTTGGAATTTTATAGGCCTTTACTTATTCAACGCTTACCTCTTCACAAAACAAGGGACAATGCACATTACCTAAAGATGTTTCATGACCTTCAATGAGCCCTCACTTATATAAATTCGTTTAGCTTACAACCAGCTTATGTTGCCAAAATACTGAAACAGGAATGTAGAGATATTATTAGATGATTGATATTTCATATTCATATACATAAAGGGAAGGCTTTATTTTTTCAATTAAATTGCCTCTGCATTGTATATCAACAGAGAAGTTTTACCCCGAATTGCTTTTACTTCATCTCGAAATCCTCATCTTTCGCGAATATATTTAGTCTCTAAGAAAAGACATTAGCATCATACTCTGAGAACTGGAGTCATGCCATAAAGCCATGTATTTAGGTAAAGTTAGGATACTGCTAAGCTAAAAGTTAAATTGGACCTAAAGTATGATTCGAATGATAGTATTTAACTTATTTAAAAAAATAATTAACAAATAGGCAAAATTATATTAAATTAATAAATATTAAGATAATTCAAGTGAATCAAAATTATTTTAAATGGTATAAACACCTTAAACTTAGCGGCAGCAAATCAGGTAGTTCATAATTACAGAGGTGGAGAATGCGAATTGGCACTGCGTTAGTGGCATCCTCTTGACTCGCAGAGTTATAATTACTGCATAACATTATTAGGTAATATCGATTTAACAAAACTGAAGATAATAAAATAGAATTATGCAAACATTCGTATGCCTTATATATTACAATTATTCTCTTTTATTTGTGTCAATTAGTCGATGTTTGGTTGAGTTTAAACCGAATCAGCCGATTTACTTTTGGTGGCACCATTAGCAAGACTAAAACTTTGATTTGATTTATGATTTGTTAAAATAGGATTTAAAAATACGAGCTACATTCACTTTAGATGATGCACTGATCGTTGAATTTTATCACAATGGTATGAGTTTTCCTACCGATTGCAAAGAATTTCACTTATCTGTATCTCGACCAAAGGGAGGTAGAAAGTGCAACCCATTTTGAGGAAGAATACTTTAATGGAATCATGGTTAAGTAAACTTTAATGACAATATTCTAGGCAATTTAAATATAGGTATTTCATCATGTAATGCAAACTAAAATAATTCAATAGAAAATTGGTTTTAGAAGAACCTCTCAGCAGATTGATGTCGAAGCACCTTTCATTTCGTTTGAAGAGGTGAGTTGAAGGGACCCGTAAGCTAGTTTCCCCGAAAGCCTAAGGGGGCGATTTTATCTTTGTGCGAATAAGTCCCTGGCTCAACATCTTGCGACTCCGATGAATACTTGCTGGGCTGTCGTCCGTCATCTGACGGGTATCATGATTTACGATGCTTAACAATAAAAGCAAGACAAGAATGGTAGCCGACTAGAGCCCTCTTTTTTTGTTCATATTTTGGCGAATTATTGTAAAGCATGGTGCCTTGCCCTGACGATATCCGTCATACGACGGACAACAGATTAACAAGTATTCTTCGAGCTCGCCGGACAGCGAGCTCAGAACCTATTCGCACAAATCTGCAATTACCGCTCTAAGGCAGCCCCCATTTGGCTTCCAGTGAGACCAAATTTAGAATATCTTCCACTCTTCTCTTCAAACGAAATGAAAGATGAATACAGCTCTTATTTGAGATCTGTCGGTACTGTCGAAGCCTACATAATCACAATATAGAAGTGTAAAGAGTCAATCTATGTTATTCGTTTATAAACAGGGTTTCAAGACTAACAATAAATCAGTTGTATAGGCTGTATTCTCCCTATTTCATTTCGGGTAGTAAAGGACTGGTAGTAGAATTTTCCCACAAGGATATGAGTAGAGCTGATGTTTCCATTTAATTTCACATAGCTCTTCTTTCCCAAAATCTATTCAAATTCAGGGTGGACTGCAGCTTCGACCTTGCATAGGTCTTATCAACACCCCCAGCGGGAGTAAAACCATCACAATGCAGCGGGTAATATCGACGCATTAGCTACTCCGCTACATCATCACGATTTCCCTTGTGCCACAAGGCAGGTGTGAATTCCAACGAAGGACAGGCATTTTTACATATAACATTCTTTGGTGGGGTTGCCGATGAAGCAAAGTTATATTTTCTATAACAATGAACTACATTACTTAGTTTTCTGCTATAAGCAGTGCTTCAAGATTACCAGTAAATCAGTTATATGAGATTCTTATTACAACATCATTAAGATGACTTTTGTGCTAAGGAAACCTTCAATGATTAATATGTTCAGGATATATAAGTTGTATTTTTAGTCGTATTCGCAGCACAAATCAAGTTTACGATGGAAGTAGATCAGTTATCATATATACTTTTGGCTCTAAAAAACCTTCAAACTATGGAAAAATTACCTTCCATCCTTTGGTTCCTTTAGGTCCTTTGTCGCCTTTTTCACCCTGGAAATGAAAAAAGTAGATTTATTAGGCATTTTATGTGGGATTTTTCCGGATTATACTTAGTAGTATTACTCCATATATTATAATGGTATATTGCATCAACTAATCTTTCAGCATTTCCATCTACTAAGATAGAATGCAAAACTCACCCTCGGCCCCTCCAGACCAACTTCACCTTTTTGACCTTGATCTCCCATGATGCCATCGATGCCCTACAGAAAGCAAAATTTAAAATTAGAATGAAAAACTATAACGGAGACGAAATAAGTGCTTGCCATATATCCAGACCTACTCGATCTCCTTTGTCTCCTTTCGGTCCGGTCACACCTTTTGGTCCTATGTCTCCCTAAAAGTTTAAAAAATGGCATAGCTCACATAGTTCGAAACTTTTATTACGACAAAATTACAAAGTATATGATTTGAAGGCTGTATAAGCATGTAAATATGCTAAAAAAAACAAGAAAAGCGATAAACGCTCATAAAATCGTAAATTTTTTATAGAGTAATCAAAAGATTGCAGATACTTTATACAGTCCATAATGATGCACACTTCGTAAACAAAGCTATTGACGGAGCATATGGCTTAAAGATATGTCATCAAAATATTTAAAGCTGAAGTTAATTTTCATAGACTTGGCAATCGAACTATTTTGTTAACCAAGTTTCACTGCCTCGAGCTTAGACTTTTGAAAAATTCTTAATCGTGCCAATACAACTGATAGTGAAAATAGCCTAATTTTTCTCTCCAATGATCCTATAGATTTCTTGCGTTCCTGCGTAAATCTTGGTTGGATTGATTAATGATTCCTGCACATTAAATGTCAAACTTACTATTTCAAGAACTATACTAGCACCGGGATCTCATGAGGCAGCTATGGATTTCTGAACAAATAAAATGTGCAGTAAACTGATGTATGCTAAATAGTTCAGCGTTATGATAGCAAGATGTGATACTGAAATATGGCAAATTATAAGGTAAGTGAGGCCTTTATGACTAACGAGTGCAAACATATATCATCGGTTATTTTTATGCAACGAGAAATCTAAAGTAACCTTATAGTTAACTATGAAATAAAAATGGAGCTTTGCTGAAAAATGAAACTGGCCAATATTATTTTTATTTAATTAGGCCCTGATATACCATTTCAAATTACGATGAATCCTCACTCTAATAAAGGTTTTGAATCTTTACTTTAAAGTAAAAACCTTGAAATGATCCAAAGGGGAATAGCTCGAACTGGATAAAAGGTGAAATAATAACACCAATTTGATTCAATATGGTATATTTAGCATAAAGTTATACTAAGAGACAATTGCCAGCTAAAGCACACGATATACGGGCTGCTTTTATTATACACTTTTAACAATGTATCCATTAGGTTGTGAAAGAAAGAAGAGTGGATTTTATTTGCCCACTCAAATTTATGCACAAGCTTTGATAGGCGAAACTAGTGATACCTCTTTTCAAGGCGTGTTTTATATCCTCTTCAGTCTTACAATAATGAACTTTCACATCCTTAACTATAGCTAAGGGATACGGCGATATGCTAGCTAACTCTAGCTCGTCGCTATCATTTATCATTTTCCTCTCTACTTGAAAACTCCCGTTGGTTTTGACCTTTTTGGCCATATTTAATGACAGATCCTTATTTACAGATTTACTATGGAGGCCTATTTTTTGGATATTATACTTTAAAGGAGATCATTAGATTTATTTATAATTGAGTTTAAAAAGAATTATGTGCTGGAACACTTTCTGCGAAAAATTAAGACCTTTCCGTATGGATGCTAAGAGTATATGTCACTTACTATTAAACCCCAAGTAAAATTTACAATGTTCGAGTTCGGTTTTAAGAACTTAAAGCTAATTTATGAATACATTTTTCAAAACAATCTTTTTGGATAACTGTTTTATTTTCCACTAAAATTGCTTTTAAGTTATTCCTCAGAAATCACTCAGCATCCTGTGTTGGGCGTAAAAACGAGAAATATAAATCTACATTTCTTACCATTTCACCAGGCTCTCCAGATAAGAAAAGTGTTTCTAGATTGGACACAGTACAGTTGCCGCCTATCTCGCCTTGATCACCTTTTGGTCCAGGAAGACCAGCCGTCACCTGACCATGAGTAGACTCGCCTGGATCTCCTGGCCAACCTTTTTCACCCTGAGATCCCTCCTCACCCTGTTGGAGGGGGCAGGCAAATGTGAAAGTGAACGCAGAAGAAATGAAGGAGAGAGCCGTTTTGGTAGGGTAGAATAAGTTTAAATGACGCTTAGTTCTTATGGATATATTAAAGTACGCTCTTATATGACAGTAATAAGGACCTGTTTAACGTTCATTTACCAAAATTTATTTTAGTCATACGCATAAATGTTTATTCACCTATTCTTGAAATTTTATTTTTTACTTGTCCGCCACCTAAATAAGAATAGTAGATTAAGTCATTAAGAGCATAGCATGAGTAAGGTAGGTGAGCTATTAAAGCTACCATATTCTACTATAAATTCAAGCTCTTTTATTGATGATGCCCACAAAGTTATGAATGTACTGTAGTAGACAAACATCATATTTCCTCTAAGAAAGTCAAATCGAAGAGTAAAAAATCTCCCACATTTAACTTTCTTCACAGATGAAATTACGTGAGATGATATGGACTTTGCTTCTATCTTGTTTTTATAACTTGCTGTTCAAAGTTTCCTAGGTTAGTAAAGCTATACCTGCAATAATAGTGTTAGGCAAACTAGTAAGATAAACCATTTTTCAGGCTCATTTTTTCACTTCAGTTGATAAATCTCGCTTAACTCAATAAGCTCTTTCAAGCTTAGTTTGGATAAAATGCCCGTTTATAGCAAGTTTTAAATTATTTCTGTCTCTGGAGACACTTGCATGTGAATTAGTCTCATGGCTTTTCATTAGGCCAAAAACTGGATGGATAAGATGAAATTCGTTGGTTAACTTTTCATTCGCAAGATTGACGATAGTTGACACTACAGAGCAAGTAAATATGATAAAACGAGTCTTCCCTTTTTGCTAAAGTTGATCCTTTAAACTTCGAGCAATTTTTTAAACTCTACAAACTCTTTAGCATTTGTATAACATTAATCTAGAATAAAGTCTCTTTAATATCGCAATTAGTTAGCTATTTTCTCTA